TTCTGAAAGACCTCGTGGGCTGTGTAACCCGCCCTGTCTTAGATGCTGGAGCACTGGCCCCCCCACGGAGACCGAGCTGCTTTCCCTGAGGGCAGCGCCTGAGCCCAGGGTAATCCCGAGCGCACTGGCCTGCACGGCGTCAGCCTGCACAGAACCCCAGGCCCCTGGGGGAAGCTGCGAAGGGACAGCCCCTGAGTCCAGCCTGTAAAATCCCTGCCGTACACATGGCCACTGGCCACAGGTTCATGCAACTCCAAAAATCCCCCTTTCTCTCCACCTCCACGGAGTTTAATCTCTCCTAATCAATTTAGCAGGCTCGCTGGGTTGTAAACGGTACCGATTTGCATTTTTGAGCCCTTTTATCCCTCCTCAGGAAAAAAGAGGCCTCCTCTGTCTGCATTCTGGAAGGCCTGTGCGGGCCTGCAGATTGCTCGTTAGCACCCCACCTGGCGACGGTCCAGCGCCAGGGGTCTGTCACCCCGTCAACTGCACCGACTGAGTGCGGGAGGGGCCGGGGGCACACGGGCGGCCCGCAGCTGGCCCTGGCTGCGTCCGGGCCCTGAGAGCCCGATCTGGTCCTTGGGGGCTCAGGCTGCTGTGCGCCCCGAGGCCCCTTCTTCCGGCAGATGCCCCGGCCTCATCGCTCCCTGTCTGCCGCATCCAATTTTCCTTGTTGTATTTTTCATAAGCACGAGCCTCCGATGCCCGGTCTTCCTCCCTGGTGCATCCAGCAGGACGCAGGTGTCTGGAGCGGACTGGGTTGGCTTTGAGGCTTGAGCTGCCGTTGTCGGGGTGAGGGGGGGAAACAGGTGTCCTCCCCTCGCTCCCCAGCTCACTGGGGTGAAGGAGGGAGGCTCAGGTACAGTCCCAGGCACATTGCCCTGGCCCTCCCACTGCGGCCCTCCGTCACCTGTACTGGACTGGCCAGAACCTTCCAGGGTCAGTGGAGGAGACCTCTGCAGCACCCAGCTTGACCGGGGGAAGCTAGGCACGGCCTCGGCCCACCCCCACTTTACAGAAGGGGACACAGCAGCCGTCCTTTGCAAAATACACTCTCCCTGCAGCTCTCTGGACACCCTCCCAGACCCCTCCTCGCTCTGCCTGGCCTTGGGCTCCCCTTGTTGGGGGACTGGGCCTCCCCGAACCCGGCAAGGGAGGGAGAAGGGGCACAAGGCAGGGGCAGTGGCCTTTGGGCTTTGGGTGGGGAAGCCAGGGCCCCCAGCCGCTGCCACCTTCCTGGCTGCTGTCACTTCCCCGGCCAGCACGGCTCAACGAGGTGCAGCCAGTGCCCCAGCTCCTGCCCCCAAACCCAGCCCCCCAGCCCCGGGTGGGGACACCCCCCAGTGAGTCACCAGGCTCCGCATCATGGGGGAGGCAGGGCGGTCTGGGGAGCCGGGGCCAATTTGGAGAAGATGGAGGCTTCTGCAGGAGGCCGCAGGAAGAGGGAAGGAGAAACGGGAAGAAAAGAAGCTTTTGATGCACATCGTGTCGGTGGAATTGAGTATGACTAATTAATAGATTTTATTCTTAGTAATCTCTTAAGCATTCCATACATTGGGCCCAATGCCTGAGCTGAGCTTACAAGAGGCCTCATTCGCAAAATGCAAATGACTCGCCTGGCCCTGCTGCCTTCCCTCCTTCCTCGCTGTCTTTCTTTTCTTTTTTTTTTTAAAGGGGAAATTTAAAGGAAAATTGCCATGTAATAGAAAAGAGATTCCAATCACTACATCTAATTACCACGAAGGGTAAACCACTTAACCAAAGAAGTGTCCTGGGTTTTTTTTTTTTTTTTTAACTTTAAACCTGCCTTAAATGCGGCACAATGCCCTCATCAGCGCCGAGGCCAGCCAGGTCGTCCCTGCTCGTTAGAGGCCGCAGGGGTCAGGCTGGCCACCTGCAGAAAGCAGATTCTAGACGGACATGCAGGCCCAGGTCCTGGGCTTGTCTTCACGGACCTTGTGTCCAGGGGACGGGGGAGGCCGGGCACCCTACACACGTCCCCTTGTTGTGCCGCGTGGCCAGCTCTGAGGGGTTGGATCAGGAGGCAGTGGGGTTTCCGAATGGAGCTGGCTTCAGGCACTTGGGGTGCCCGTGAGGCAGCAGGCCCTGGGGGTCAGAAAGGACGCTGCAAAGGTGGTGGGATGCCTCGGGCAGAGAAGGGAGCGGCCCCAGGGTGCTGGCTGGGCGGGGTCTCCGCCCACTGTTGCGTCTCTGTGGGTGGGGCGATGCCTGCAGAAGCTGGTCGCAGGGGGCCGGGCGGGGCAGCTCATCCCAAGCCCTGCCTGAGCCCTGTTAGCACAAGAGCCTGGCTAGGGCCTGCTCACTGCTTACCACCACAGGGGGCGGAGGGGGGGTGGTTACAGGCTGGGTCTAGGCCTTCCCCTCCGTGGAGCCCTCCTGCCATTGGCAAATGCCTTCCTAGCCTCTGAGGGGGTGGTCTGACTTCTGCCTGGCCTGGGGAAAGGCAGAGGGGGGGACCAAAATGAGATGGGGTGGGGGGGGGCCGAGCATGTTGGCAGTGGGGACTAGGGGCTGACGGTGGGGTGTGCAGGGACCAGTTCTCCTGGGACACTGGCAGAAGGCAGGAGCGGTGCCTGGAGGTGGGGTGTCCAGGGACCCCTTCACAAACCGCAGAGACCTTGGACTTCCGTCCTCCAGCCGAGACCCCGCACCCTGGTGCCCCGTCTCCCTCAGGCCGCACCCAGCGGGACCCCTCTGCTCCTCCCTGAGCTGCCAGGGGTGTGTGGGGGGGAACAGGCCTGTGCTGGCTGGGGAGGGGGGGCCACTACAGACGTGAAATTAAGGCTTGGAAGAACTCTCCCGACTTCACTGTATGGGAAAATGGGAAAAGGGGGAAAAGGTTTGCTTTAGAATGAAAAGTAGCCGTGGCCCTTGGCCTCTCCCGGGGCTGGGGAGTTAGGCGTCCCCCTTCCGGGGAGGCCTGGAGACCCCGTGTCTCTTCTCCACCCCTGATGCGGCTCTTGTGTCCAGTTCTTTCATACCGCACTTCCCCAAGGGGGCCAGTCTCGCCTTTTCATGTCCGCTGAGCAGCCGGCCCCAGGCCGCCCTGTGACCGGCTGCTCAGTCTCGTCCTCCTGCCCTTGGCTTTTGTCACAGCAGTCGGGGCCTTTTGAAGACGCCCGCCACCGCCACCGGGAGCAGGACCCCTCCTCAGCCTCCTCGCCCTCGGGCCGGCGTCCCTCCTGCGACAGGGCTCCTCCCTGGTGCGGGGTGAGTGGCACGTGGACGGCCGGTGCCCCAGGTGCCCACGTGCGGGGACGCAGGAGACAGCAGAAGCTTGGACACCGGTCCCCTCTTCTCTCCAGATTTGCTGTCATTATTTCATCATCGTTTTAATTTCATGGCTCGCCCCACGGTGCTGCCGGCTGATAAATGATGGCGATGTCGATTCCAGAGGGAGGAAAGAAAGCTTTAACTCGGGGAGCGCCCTGGTCAGTACCCTTCAGTTCCGGGGGGGGGGGGCTGGCTGGTTCACAGGGCGAGCTGAGCCTCCATCTCCAGAACGGTCCCGGGGGGGATGGGCGCGGCTGGGTGATTTGCATTTGGGAGCGCTGTCTCCCAGGGCTTTTCCGAGAATTTTCGTGTCTTTTTCTGGGTGTTGTTTCAGCAGCTATGGAAACCATTAGGTCTAATCAGCTGATATTTAAAAAAAAAAAAGTCTTTGTGCCAATTACCTTGTCCCAGGAGGAAACACAGAGCACAGAGAAAATAGCTAGTGCCCTGGCTGGTGTGGCTCAGTGGGTTGAGTGCCAGCCTGTGAACGAAAGGTCACTGGTTCGATTCCCAGTCAGGGCACACGCCCGGGCTGCAGGCCAGGCCCCCATCTGGGGCACGCAACAGGCAACCAATGCTTCTCTTGCGCATTGATGTCTCCCTCCCTGTCCTTCTCTCTCCCTTCCCCTCTCTCTAAAAAATAAATAAAATCTTTAAAAAAGAAAGAAAGTGGCTACTGAGGTGACTGTGTGTGTGGAGGATGAGGAGCCTGTCAGTCACCTTGGTCACGGTCTCCCTACAGCGGGCAGGAGCGTGGCCCAGCTCCGGCCAACCCGAGGCGGGAGCAGGCTGGAAGCACCCGCCGGTGCAGAGGGGACGCGCCCCCGCCATCACCAGCGGAATTACCCCCACCCCATCCTGATCCCCGCGCACCGCGTCCACTTACTCAAGCACTGTTAGGAGGAAGCAACATTTTCACGACTATTTTCTCAAGAAACTGTACTAACTGACCCAGGAAGTCTCATCAGGGCGGTCTGCAGCTCTGTCTGCCCGTCTGTGCTCAGAGCCGCGACGTCGAGACAGACGGGCTGACAGACGCGCCCCCAAGGGGCCGGGAAAGGCGCGGCGTCCACGGGGCTTCCGTGGCGCGTGGTGGTGGGGCGTGGAGGCGAAGAGGGTTTCATACGGGAAAGAGAAAGTTTGCTTTTTAATTGGTTACATCGTTGTTCGAAGAACGCAAAGACGCGGTATTTCAGAAAATCTGTAAGGGAGGTGGTGTGGAAAGAACCGGGGAAGAGACTTCAGGACACTAGCTCCCTAGCGAAAGATCTTCCCTTCCCCCCTCCCCTGGGAGGAGCCTGCGAATCTTCCGCCAGGCCATCGCCAGGGGGCAGCCAACCGGCAGCGAGAGGGGGCTTCTGCGCCGGCCGCTCCTCCGCGCCGGTCCTTCTGTGCCCGCCCCGAACTGGGCGCGAGGCGCACACAGATGCCGTACAGGTAGTATCTGCACACTTCACGGGAAAAACCACCCCGACCCGGCCCTTCCTGCAATAATATCCCTTCCAGTCCTCCCCTCCCCAGCTGGCATAATTCGGAATAAATTATGTCTTCAGCAACATCAAACCCCTCTCTTGCCTTCTATCCTTTAAAAAAATTTTTTTTCCCACTGTTGTGTTCTAGAAAATTGATAGCCCTCCCCAAGCATTGCTATTCGCTGGGGGAAGTCATCGTGGAGTTTCTTCCCCTTGCTCTGCAGGACGGCGGCGGGCTGGGCAGAGCGCGGGGCCGCAGGCCAGGGGGAGGCGGGCGCGGGGCGGGCCTGCCGGGCCGGGCATCATGTGTAGGAGTAGTCCATGTCGGGGATGCCGGCGTCGCGGTAGCCCCGCGTGGTGCCGTAGCCGATGGTGTGCGCGCCCTTGCAGAGGCTGCTGCCGTTGGAGGGGAAGATGGTGTGGACCACGTACTCCTCCTTAGCGCGGTAAGGGTTGATGGGCAGCATCTGCAGCCCCGGGCCGCGGATTTCCAGGATGGAGTTATCCTTCTTCGTCCCCGACTCCATATACTTGCCCTTCTTCTGGCTGCCCCGGCTATAGACCCGCTCCCGGCTCAGGAGCTCGCTGGCGCGGTTCACGTACCAGCAGATGGCCCCCAGGACCAGGAAGAGAAAGACCAGGGCCACGGCGCCCCCGATGACGGCCGCCAGGGGCAGGCCGGCCATGGGGTGGGCGTTCTGCTCCTGGTTGAGCGTGGTGGTGGGGCCATAGCTGTCGGCGGTCTCTGCCTTGGCGCACACGGGTGTCTCATCCGCCACGTAGGTGTTGCCGGTCTCCATGGTGACCATGCAGATGATGTAGGTGGACTTGGGCTCCAGGGCCGTCAGCAGGTACTCGGTCTTGTCCCCCTGCACCAGGGTCTCCGTGATGGAGCCGACCGCCGGGCTGTGGCCCAGGCGCAGCCAGCTGAGCCGGAAGGAGGAGGCGGGGAGTGCGGCCTTCCACGTGATGTGGATGGAGTCCGCCGTCAGGGGCTTCACGTGGATGACCAGGGTCTTTGCGCCATCGCCCGTGGCCATGGGGTAGTCCAGGCTGGAGTCGGGGAGGCGCAACCTCGGCCTCTTGGCCTTGAGGGTGAAGAGCGAGCCCTGGGGCGTGGTGGCGGAGGCGTGGCTGCTGGGCGTGGTCTTGGCAGCGGCGTTGGCCACGCCTCCCTGCGGCCCCGCCTCGAAGCACTCGTCCATCTCGTTGGTGATGTCCTTGATGGCCATGCCCCGGACCTTCTCGGGGCCCTGGCACATGAGGCCGCGCACGTTGACCACAGCCGCCCGCGCCTTCACCCAGTCCCGCAGCCACATGAGGCTGCAGCCGCAGAACCAGGGGTTGTTGCGGAGCAGCAGCTGGGCCAGGCTCTGCAGGCCGTCGAACAGGCCGCGCGGCAACGTGGTGAGGTTGTTGTTGGACAGGTCCAGGCGCTCCAGCGCGTGCATCTTGGCCAGCGTGCCGTAGGGGATGTGGCTGATGGCGTTGTCCTGCAGGTAGAGCTTCTGCAGGTGGGCGCTGGGCAGGTTGAGCGGCGGGGCGGCCAGCGAGTTGCGCACCAGCGAGAGCTCGGTGAGGTTCTGCAGGCGGCTGAAGGTGTCGTCGGCGATGCGCTGGTTGGCCAGCAGGTTGCCGTCCAGCACCAGGCGCCGGAGGCTGTCGAGGCCCTTGAAGGCGTGCAGCGGGATGGTGGAGATGCGGTTGTCGTCCAGCCGCAGCTCCTCCAGCGTGCGGGGCAGCCCCGAGGGGATGCTGCTCAGGTGGTTGCGGCTCAGGAAGAGCAGCTTGAGCTGCCTGCTGTCGGCAAAGGCGTCCTCCTCGATGCTGACGGTGGACACGGAGTTGTCGTCCAGGTGCAGCTTCTCCAGCAGCGGGAGACGGGACAGCGAGTCCCGGGCGATGGCCCGCACGTTGTTGTCCTGCAGGTGCAGCTCCCGCAGGGAGCGGGGCAGGTTGACGGGGAACTCGTCCAGGTCGTTCTCGTACAGGTAGATGACCTGCACGTTGACCTTGGTCTTGAGGTCCTGGGGGATGCCGGCGTTGCTGATCCGGTTGTTCTGCAGGTAGAGGGTGGTGGCGTCGTCGGGGATGTCGGCGGGGATGGAGGCGAGCCCCCGGTCGTTGCAGTAGATGAAGCCGTTGTCGCAGCGGCACACCGAGGGGCAGGTGGTGCTGTCGATGACCTCGGTCAGGAAGGCGATGAGCCCGTAGCAGAGGAAGAGCCAGTCCCGCAGGTCCATGGTGGCCGCGGTCATCACGACGGTGGCCGTGACGGTGGCGGCAGTCGTGGTGGTGGTGGCGGCGGAGGCGGGGTGCGCCACCACCATGGTGGACGGCGGGGGGAGCGGGGGCCTCACCGGACTCGGGGCCTCGGCACCTGTAAGGGGCACAAGACACGCACGGTGAGAGCGAGTGGCAGCGCCCATCTGCCCGCCTGCCCGGCGCCCATGGGCCGCTGCAGGCGGGGACGTGAAGCAGACACCACACCCCCCGGCGCCCAGGCTGTGCCCCGGTGACCAGTCAGGCTGAGGGTGGACTCTAGTGACCTCTGGCTCAGCCGGAGCGAGGCGTTGCCCGTGAGGGCACGGTGCCGCATGCCCTCCCGGACGATGACTCCACATCTCGGGCGAGGTTACCTCCCTGAGGGCCACGCTGCAGCTTTGGTTTCTTCCTTCGAGATTTCCCCCGGAGCCACTTTCCACGGCCAGCGCTAAAAGGGGCCAGTCAGAGGTGGGTGGGACGGATTTAGGGCGCGTCTGATGGATGCAGAGCCACTTCTCACTGGGATGAGGAGCTGGCACCTGGCTGGGACCCAGGGTGTGCAGGGAGAGCTTGTTTCTGGGAGGCCTGCGAGCTCAAAGCGGTGGCGGGAGGGGGGTGACGAGAGAAGGAGCTGCCAGCATCGTCACTGGTGAGCGGCAGAGAGCGGGCGCTGCATTGTCTAGTGTTAAAACATGTCCTGCTTGTCACGCGTGCGTCTCACAGACAGAAGATGAAGGTGTCGGCAGAGTGGCTCCCTCCTGTATTTACAGAAATCTCTCTTCGCCGGAGGTGCCCTCCCTGGCTCCGCGCGCCGCGCTGTGTGGGAAATTATTCCACACCTTGTCCACTTCCAAAATCACGAAACTTGAGAAATATATATGTTTGCTTGCATTTAAAGAAATGAGATTTTTTTTTTAAGGAGGGAGGGGCCCATGCTCTGAGGAAATTGCCCAGAGGTGTGACTTCAGCTTTCACAAATGGAGAAATTACAGCACAGACGTTCCTCATTATTTTATATTTCGTAGTGGTAAAAAAAAAATCAATTAAAGAGAAATTATCTCTTGACCTCCGCGGGGAGGTGTCCTCATGCAGCTGGCAGAGGTCCACAGTGTGACCGCAGAGCCACACAGCCTGGCGGGTGGAGGGCGGCCCTGGGCCCAGAGCGGAGCGAGGGCGCTCCGGCCCACGGCGTCCGAGGGCCCAGTGCCCAGGTGTCTCGGTACCCCAGCCAGGTCACACCCCCGGCCTGGTCTCTCTCTAGTCCAGGCCGGCTCCTCTCCACCCAGCACACTACTCCGCTCGCCCTTCGGGACCCGCCTCCGGTGCCCCCTCCTCCGCTGGGTCTCCCCACGCCGGAGGGAGCTCCCCTCTGCTCCGCCCACCCACCCTCGGTCTGTCCACCCACCTACCCCTCCCTCCCCCCTCCTCCCTCCCCGCCTCCCATCGCTCGTCCCTCCGCGCGTCTGGCCACCCAGCCCCCGGCAGATGTTGGTCGATCACGCACCAGGTGCCGACCCAGGTTGCGGCCATGAGTGACTCCACCCGGGTGGGACCGCAGCTCACATGATAGCAGCGACCTTGCCTGGAGCCGCGCGAAAACCGAAGTCGTCCCACCCTCCCAGGGAACACGGGGCCGGAGCCCTCCTCGCTCCCTTGTAACGGATGAGACCCGGAGGCTTGGAGGTGCGGCCTCACTCGAGACCCCTCAAGAAGTGGAGGGGGGGCCTGAGGCCAGACTCTCCACCGCCAGGCTCAAAGTGCCGCACGTCCATGGGCCGCCGGCCGTGCTGTTTGGTGACTAGGGTGTTACGGTCCCGGGCTAAATTCCAGGGGCTGGAGGGCCGGGCCCACGGGCCGTGTTGGCCATGGGCGGCTGGGCGTCAGTGACCACCTGCCTGCCCAAGGGGCTGAGCCCCGCATGCTCAGGCCCCATTTGCATTTACGGGGCCTTGCCCCAAGCACAGCTCCAGGGCCATCTCAGGAGGGCTCGGGCTTTGCCTGTGGATGGGTGGCCGGCTGACGCACTAACCCAGCCCAGGGCCTGTTCACAGCGACGTTTTGTTCATAAGGTCCCAAGGTAGGTCAAGGGCCAGCCCAGGACACCTGGCTGGAAGCAAATGAGCATGACGGGGAGGTGCCTGGGGTCTGCGTCTAGGGTCACAGGGGAAGTGGGGGAGGGGGTGCTGATGAGACCATACCCACCCAGCACTCTGGGTCCCTGAAGCCAGCTCAGGCTCCCTCCCACCAGCACCCACTGGCCTGAGGGACCAAGGACGCCTGCCTGGCCCAGGCTGCAGGCTCCTGCCCCACTCACAGCCCCGCCCCTCGGAACATGTTGCTGGTCTTCGCTTCCTGCAGGTCGAGCCCCTGGCTCCCCGCCCCTGGGTCCGGCTGTCCTCCGTGTCCCCGCCCAGGCAGCCTGGCCACTCTGCCCTGCTCCTCTCCCACCCGGAGCCTTGCGCCACCATGCTCCCTGGCCCATCCTGCGCTCAGTGGCATGGGGCGGGGCACGGGTCTCCCAGGCGGCCCCACCCTCATCAGACCCCTGACTCCCCGGCTGCTTGTTAGCTCCGGGATTGGGAGGACCGCCGGCCCAGACTGTAGGACAGACGGGCTCGAAGCAGGGGATGGTCGCGTAGACCTGGGAACACCGACCTTTAACAGGGAGGAACCCAGGCCCCAGAGGGACTTCCAGCCTCACCCCCTCTTCACAGGCATAGGTTTGTGCCCTCACCCCCCGGTCACATGCACACAGGTGCTCGTCCCACTTGACTGCGGAGCAGCCCGAGACGCAGAGAGCAGAGGCGCCTCTCTGGGGTGGCGGCCAGCCCGGGTCTCCGGCTGCATATCCGCTCCCTTCCCTGCCCGGGGCCTGAAGGTCCCGTCTCGAGCTGCTCCTGAGCAGCGAGTCAGGGCCAGGGCAGGCGTGGAGGATGGGGGCATGCAGGCCTGCCCAAAGGCCACCCTGCCTTGGTCTCGGGGTCGAGCCCAAGCCCAGGAGAGCCTTGGCCCGGGCCCCCGGCAAACGGCCGGAGGATGCACACCCTCCCTGGTCTGTCAGCACTGAGTCCTGGCCCAAGATCTGGGAGGCGCCCGGGCGCTGCTGCTCCAGGCCAGCGCCCCAAGCAGGGAACAGGCTTGTTGGGGCCACAGGCAAGACCTGCCACCGCCTGCTGGCTTGGCTGGCCTTGGATGTGAGCTCCCGGTGCCTGCTCGGCTCAGGGCCCCGGCCTTCAGCCTCCAGAGGCCCCGGCATCAATAACAGAGTGTAAACCACACACTGGGAGATGCCTGATGGATAACTGAGCCAGTTTCGGGAGTTGGAGACCCAAGGCCTTTCCGCCCCCGTCTGTGGGCCTCATCCATCTTGGCTCAAGTCCCCCTCCCCCCGCCGCTGCCCCTTCCCCAAGGCCGCCCCTGCGGAGCCCTGCGGCTCCCTTTCGGGGAAAGAGGGCGGGGCCTGGGGCAGGAGGAGGGAGCACGCCTCGCGGGAGAGGCCCAGTAGTTGCCTGGGTGCCAGCCGCCTGTTCATTCCCTGGTTGTGCACCGGATGGTTTATGTCGTCATTACATTAGACCCGGTAAATCGCCTGTCTTTTACGGGGTCACCCAGTGTCCTCGCGCGGATCCCGCAGACTTGGGCGGGGTGTGAGCCAGGACCTGCCAACTCGTGACTGACGGCAAGACGCTGGTCCCGCCTCGGGGGCGGGCGGGGGAGGGGAAGCAGTGAGCCGGCTCAGGCTGGAGGCATTCAGACGCCCGTGGGGTGGGGGGGGGGGTGTTACCTGGGGAATCGCTCTTGGCCTTTGCCACTAGTTCCTGCCCCCTTCCAGGACAGAGAAACCTGGGTTGTAGTCCAGCCTCTGCCACTTCCAGGCTGTGCGATCTTGAGCAAGCTCCTTGCCCTCCCTGAGCTTCGGCTATACGTGTGGTCCTCCCCTATACGTGTGGTCAGAATAGCTCCCCTTACAGGGGGACTTCCTACGGAGGGCTCTGTAAGATCATATGCGCAAAGCACCCCTCGTCAGTCAGTGGGACCTGCGCGTGACACACGCGTGACACACGAGTGAGTGAGGCGTGAGCGCTGCAGCAGGTCTCTGGCCACTGCAGGCACGCCGGCCCGGCCTGGGTGTTCGCTGCTCCCCGCTCTCCTCCGCTCTCCAGCGGCCCCTTCTTCGCTCCCCCGCGCCCGCACCCGCGCCGCCGAGCCCCCGGGGTGGACCGGGAGCCTGCAGGCCGGGCTGCTCCCTGGCAGGACTCCCGTCAGTGGGTGTGGCCCTGGGTGCCCGTCTCACCTCCCACGGTGCGTCCTCGGCCCCTCCCCCCAGGCTGGGGTGGACGCGCTGCCCCCGCCCCCACCCCCCACCGCCTCTGGACCACACTGAGCCGGCCCATCAGCCCCAGTTGGGCATCTGAGAACTCCAGACGGTGACCCCAAGAAAGACGCGCGTGGACGAGAATGGCCTCGCCATCACGGGGGGAGAGGACCATGGGGCTGGGCTGGAGTCTGGCTTCACCAGCCCCCAGCCGTGTGGCCTGCGGTGACTGCAGCCCCTCTCTGGGCCTCCGTGTCCTCCTCTGCAAGGCACTGCCAAGGGAGGGGCCGTGTGCAGTGCCCAGCACAGGGCTGGTGGTTCTGGGGAGAGGCGCTGCCCCAGCCGTCCCCACGGAGGGACCTGAGGTCCTCCTGGGGCGCACTCCGGGCGGCCGCCCACCCACTAGCGCCGAGGAGGGAGGGCAGACGCGAGCGGGTCAGGGAGCCGAGGCCAGACAGAGGAAGCCCCTCCCCCTCCCCCTTCCGGTGCCCCCTGACCCTGGCCAGGCCCTCAGGGCAGACTGGGGACAGAAGAGGTTTCAGCCCAGGAGAGGAAAGGCAGGGGGCCCCCCAGCAGGGAGCTCTACCAAGGCAGGCTCACCGCCTTGTCTGTGATGGGTCCTCAGCACTCCTTTGTTTAAGTTAACAAGGGACCCCACATTTCTTCCCAGCAGCCTGCGTGACCTCCGTGGCGTGGCATGATAAGCAACACGGAGGGCGGAAGGTCAAGAGGCACGGGGACCGGCCTCCACCTCCCCGGGTTCGGGGAGGCCTGGGGAGAGCGCCCCCACCTCCAGGAAGCCCCGCCCCCACCTCCAGGAAGCCCCGCCCCTGCCCGGGCTCAGCCCAGCCGCTCCACCTCCCAGGGCGGCCTCGGGTCTCAGGCCTCCATCTGTAAAATGGGACCACAACTGACCCCTCCCCTGGGTTCTTGTGAGGATAAAGGACGGGGGTTTTCCAGCTGGAGCAGAGAGGGAGGGCCGGGCGCAGAGAGGTGGACAGACCCGGGGACTCGGCGCGGTCACTGGAGACAGGCCGCGCTTCCGGGCCGGTCCAGGTGTGCGTGGCAGGTGAGGAGGGGAGCGTGCGGTCGGGGGCCCTGCCCAGACAACCCTCCGGGCCCTTCTAGCCGGTCCCTGCCCCAACTTCACGCCCCACCTGTCTCCCGGGGCCACAGAGAACTTGTAATGCGTGGGGGGTGGGCGTAGGGATCCTTTGAAAACCTAAAGTTAATTATTTCTCTAATTATATGCTGCATGCATTATGCATCAGTGGTTATCACTGGCGGGAGCGGCAGGCAGGTATGTAAATCCCCTGGAAGGCACCTCGCGCTCAGCTCGTCTCGTGGCTGCCTGGGCACGAGGTCTCAGGGCACTGGGGTGTCCTGAACTTCAGGGAATGCAAATCATTTTTAAAAAATACGGCTTTAAAACTGGGTCTTAGGAGGTTAATTATATTGATAACAGCGTTCGATATTAAACCGTTCCGGGCCAGGAGAGGGTGGGGGGATGAAAGGAGACACGTGTAATTTTGTCTCTGTCTCTCCCGGCGTGGTTCAATGAGGGGTTCCCGCACCTGGCGCCCCCCTGCGTCCCTGCGTTTTCAGCAGAGCCGCCGAGACGAGGGCTTGGTTTCTCTGCGCAGGAAGGAGGAGAGACTGGGGAGTCTCGGCCGTAGGAGAGGGGCCTGAAGGCTTTCATGCCGGGGGAACGGGAGGAAGGAACAGAGGGAGGCAGCCCCTGAGCCCAGGGCAGGGGTCCCCAGGGTCCACACGGCCAGGCTTCTCAGCGGCCAGCGAGGTCCTGGCAGCTGGAGGCCGAGACGGGAGCAGGGTGACCTGGAAAGACTGGGCACGGCGATGCCCGGCAGTCGTAAAGCAGAGACTCGGAGCGGGGTGCGGGCAGGGCCCCCCAGGAGCTGTGGGGCACGGACCACGGCGGGCCCTGGTCCTGGGGAGACCTCCTGTCGACTGAGGACAAGCCAGCTGTCCAACCCCCAGGATATAATGAACGCCTAGCAGTCAGGACGTGCTCCATCCTGTTCATGGGCCCAGCCCAGAGCCTGGCCCCGGGGTGCTCACAGATGCCTGTTGAATGGATGAATGGATGAATGAATGAATGGATGAATGAATGAATGAGTACGTCGAAAGGGGACCGGCCCCAGAGTCCGAAACCCAGGACCCGGCAGTAGGGGGAGAAGAAGGAGGCCGCAGCCCAGAGAGGCAAAGGCACAGTCTGAACCGTGCAGTGCGTGGTGGAGGGGCCACCCCAGCCCAGGCCTTGGACGTGGGTCTTCCCTTCCCAGGTGTCTCACACCTGTCCTCCAGCTGGGGAGGCCCCACCCTGGGAAGGAGCAAACCCAGAAAAGGCCCCGGCTGTCCCCACTCACCTCCTCTGACAGGGGGCGGCCACCGCCGACCCGCCCAACTACGTACGGGTCCACCTCCAGGCGCCAGAGGCTGGCCCCACTTTCTCAGAGACGACCCCCTCCCCCGCCACCCCTGCAGGCACGCCCAGGGGGGAACCCACTCTCAGGACTGGGGGGTAGAGGGTCTCGAAGATCCTCTGCTTCTTGCAGAGGAGGAAGCACCGAGGCCCAGAGTGGGGAAGGGCAGGCGCAGGGTAGAGAGGACCCTACGGCAGCCGCGCACAGCCCCCTCCCGGCCCACCTCCCCCGACTCTCAAACCCCGTCCTGCGGGGCTGGCGTGGGCCGTGACGGCGGGCGTGCCTGGCTGAGCAGGGTCTCCTGGGAGCTGCTCTCCCCCACCAGTGGCTCTGCAGCCCCTCTGGCCCGGTGGGCTCAGGCCGGGGAGTGGCAGCAGCCGGCCAGCCTGAGCACCTGCTGTGTGCTGGGCCCTCTGCAAACTCCCGTCCTTTCCAGCTGGCCACTGCCTGGTGGAGCCTGAGCCTGCAGTGCACGTGCCGAGGTGGGGGGGTGGAGGACACTCAGGGAGGGGAAGGGAGGTGCCCACGGTCCCGCCACTCCCAGCCGGAAGGCCAGGGCACCTGTCCAGGTGGGACTGGCTCCACAGCCCGGTTCTGAGGCAGAGCCAGGCCCTGAGCAGCTCTCCATAAATAGTCGGGGTGCAAGCCTGGGGACCCATAGCCGGCTCTTCCCTTCTGGCTTGGCCCCAGCCCTAACCCCAGGGGTCCCCCTCCCCCGCAACCCCCCGCAGGGCTGGGAGGAGACTAGGGACAGGGGCAGGGAGGCTGCCGGGCAGGGGCCAAGCTCAGGCTCCGACAGTCCCCACGGCTGGGCTGGCGCCTTCACAATAAATAACAGCAAATAGCCCATCCGCAGGGCATCTCTCACGCTGGCGGCTAATAACACACTATTAATGCCCCCGCAGCCGGTGTGCACGCCACGCGGCGCTGACGGATGTCCCGCCCGGGCCCGGCCGTAAATCAGCCTCTCTCCCGGGGACGGGCGTGGGGAAGTGTCGTTTTCCATCCAGCTAATGAACTGGGGCTTCCCTGCCCTGCCCTGCCCAGGGCGCCGCCGCCGCCGCTCCAGGTGGCCTGGCGTCTGTGTCTTGGTGGGGGGCGAGGGTCGTCCCTGCTGGCCTCTGGGCACCGGGAGGACAGGGTGGGACCCTGTCCCAGCCCAGCCCCGCCACGGCAGGCCTTGGGGACCCCGTGCCCTCCTCCAGGCGCCACACGCAGCTCTCGGCAGCCGAGGGGCAGAACTGAGGCCGGAGCGGACGATGCCCGAAGGCCAGCCAGAGCAGGGCCTGAGCTGGTGGCTGTGGACCAACCCCACCTGGGTCCTCCTCGCCAGTGCTTACGTCACCAAAGGCTCTGCCTCCCCGGGGCCTCCCTGCTGTCTCCTTTGGGCGGCCTGGAGGGGCTCAGAGTGCCACCTCCCTCCAGGACAGCAGGGCCTGGGATGCACCCAGCCCGGAGTAGAGCCCAGCAGCGTGGGGCCGCCGGGTGGCACGTGATCCTTTCCCCCCGGCAAGCAGCAGAGGCCAGCTGCCCGAACTCCGTGTGTGGGGTGGGTATGGAGCTACAGACCTGCAGGGGGGGCTCTGTGAGGCCCCAGTCTGACCCAGCCCAGCGTGAGGGCAGGCCCCAGCTGCCCCATCCGTGTGCCCTCCCTCGGCCTTTCCAGACCACCGGAGCCCTTCCCCGCCCGTCCTACCTCCTGCGCTGCTGCCTGGGAGCCTGCTGGGTCTGGCGGGATCGCTGCTCCGGATGCTGCGTTCGGGTCCCGGGGGGGGGGCCTGGGCCACGGTCACATTCCGGCCCACGGCCCCGGCGCTGGGGGCGCAGGCCTCAGACCTGGGGTGTGGGGTCGCGCTGGGGGCGCCCTGGGGCACAGGGAGGAGGCCTTGTGCTCGGCTCCACGGGGCCGGAGGTCACCCGTGGCTGTGGGTCCGGAGCGGCATACTCTCAGGCCGTGGGCGCCGCCGGCCTCTCCCCTGTGGAGCACGGGGCACACGTGAGTGTCCGCAGAGGTGGCCCCGGGAGGCCCCCGGACTCCCGCACGCGGCCTGAGGGTGCTCTGGGCCCCTGCGCCCCAGGCATGCCCTACGGCCTGGCGCCCATCCCGGGCGGGCAGCCCGTCGCTGTCCTCTCTCTCGCTGCTCTCCCGTCTGTCGGCCGCCACCTCCTCCGACGGGCTTCTGCGTGGCTCCCGCCCCTTCTTCTTCTCCACCAAGTTGCTTCTTTTGTTAAAATCCCTTCACATCACTGGGCAGCACGGGCCCGGGGCAGGGAGTGCCCTTGGGTGATGGAACAGAGAGGGCGCCGCTCTCCAGGGACCCGGTGCTCCCGCCACTCGGGCTGTGTCCCCGGGGAGCGGGGGTCCATTGCCCACAGCGGGCTGAGCCGCGGACGCGCACCGCCAGCTGCCAGGCCCCACGGGCCCCTCTTTGCAAAGATGCTTGGGAGGTGAGGAGCTCAGTCCTGCTTGGCTGCTCCTGTTCGCAGGGAAGTTTTCTCGCCCAGGAAGTGGGCGGTGGCGGGGGGGGGGGGCACGTTGCTCCTGCTTCGCTTCCTGGTCTTGTCTGTGCAACAGGAGTCCTTCTCACCCACTCCCCGCCTCCTCACCTGCCGAAAAACAATGGGAGTCATTAAGCCCCAGAATTAGGAGCCCCCCCGCCTCCCGCCACGGCAGGCTGCCTGGCCGCAGCCCCTCTCCGCCCACGCCTCGGAATCTGTCCCCTAAACGCCCCTCTTGCTCGTGAGCTGGGAGGGGGGCTGGGAAGATTCTCCACCACCTCCTTTCTCTTTTCGAATCCAGATACCAAACAGCTGGCCACACACAGCTCTCCCACTCCCAGTGCTCTGGCTCCCCCCCTGCCCTGGGGGTGGGAGGGCTGGGAAGGGAAAAGGGAAGTTCTGAGGGCTCCTGGCCCTGCAGGGGCCCTGCTCCGGCCCGGAGCTGGCTCCGCTTCCCCCAGCACCTGCTCCTCTCGCTCACGCCATTCAAAGGGTCCAACTGGGCCACGGCGGCCTCGGCTTCCAGAACACGCTCTGCCTCTCCCCGCCACCCTCAGGCGGCTGGAGCATCAGGGAGGCTGGGGAGCCGCGTCCCTGCCTCTCTCTCTCCCGACGACCACCCTGCTTCCCAAGGCAGGGTCAGCTCCGCACGCCCCGGCGGCCCCTCCTCAGAGACCGGGGGCAGGGCCGCTGCCCTGGCCGCCTCTCATTCGCTGACCCTCTCATTAGCCGCCGAGGTCCGGGGCCCTGGTGTCCGCGCCGCCCCTGCAGGAGCCCCTCTTTGGAAAAGTGCTTTCATTACACATCTGAAGAGAGTCAGCTCTGGCTTGAAACAGGACCAAGACGGGCCCGGCCGCATCCGGGTGTCTCTCTGTGCAGGGCCGAAGGTGGCCGGCTCGAGCAGGGTTTGCTGCCTGGCCCGGTCCAAATAACAAGAAGAGTATCTCGGTGCCAGGGGGCGGGGCGTGTGTGTGTTTTAATAAGTCCTGAGCCCAGGCTGGGGGCTCACTGCCCACTGGGCACCCAGCCCAGCGGGGGGAGAGGGTGCTAGCCAGGTGGGGCACAGGCTCATGGGGTTGACAGGAGAGGGGCGCTCTTGCGACAAGCTCCCCCGCCAGAGCAGGGAGGTTGAAGACTCAGCAAGCCCCAGGGGACATGAGTCCTGAGGTGTGAATGGGGGTGGGGGCGGGGGGGGGGGCCCATGAGGCGGCAGGGTGGGGTCTGCACTGGAGGGAAGATGAGGACAGCCCCCTCCTGCCAGGTGATGCCAGGCTCCGCGAGAGGTTTTATTGCTATTACACCCATGTGATTTCATCCAATTATAAATTGTAATTTCTCTATGAAAGCAAGAGATGGAAAGCATCCAATGAGGTCATCTGCCTCCCCGGCTGGGTCGAGGAAATTGTTTTAGACCTCGGAGCAGGGGGAGGGGGTGGGGGCAGGGGTGGGGGCAGCAGGGGCGGCGGTGTCCTCGGAGCCCAGAGGCTCCGGCCAGTCATGGCTGCTGGTTCCCCGTGGCAGCAGACGCACCCTGAGCTCTGCTTTGGGAACGATGAATGCAGCCAGGCGGCCTCACCCCGCTGGCGTCGGGCCCTCCCGCTAACCCTCAGGATTGGGGCGAAGCTCCTGTGACAGCCTCCAGGGATCCCCAGGGCCTGGCCCCGCCTGGCCCACCCGCCTCACCACCCGCCACTTCCCCCAAACACCCGAGCTGCATGCACCGTGCCCACCCCCCCCATCCCCCGCTGCTGCCACTCCTGCAGGGGTCCCTCTGACATCACCCCTCACCTCCTGCGTGGGACCGTGGGGCCGCACAGACCTGCCTTCCCTGTGGTCCTGCAAAGCCTCCTGGGAACCCCGGGCACGCCTCACGTCCCAGACCCCACCAAGGACACTGGGCCCCTCGAGTGTCTCCGCCCTGGGCGAGTGGGTGCCTCTTGGGCGTGCAAGGTGGGTGTTTGTACCCCCACGTCCGCCACCCGGGCAGCGGTGCTTGGAGGCGTGAGCTCGTCCCACGTGGGGGCTGGCACCCACCAGGCCCAGCAGCACATTCGAGAATGCGCCCTCTGGGCAAACACCCGCCCTCAGGGCCGCTGAGCCCCCGCTGGGCACTGACCGGCCCCAGCGAGCCGCAGCCCCCCAGTGTGGACAAGGCCAGCAGTGGCGCGTGGACTCTCCGGGCGGTCAGTCGAGTTGACCAAGGAGGAAGTGAACCTGTGGGGCCCGGAGGACTCGGTAACGGGGACCCCTCTGCGGCCCCTGCCTCTTCCGCCAGCTCACGGGACCCCCCCCCCCCGCCGGAGACTGCCTTCCCCGCCCCCACGGGCTCCAGGTCTGGTCTCCGTCTGTGTTCAGGTGCCAAAGAACCATTTCTGGGGGGTCAACGTAATAAAACCTTCCATTCGTAACTGCTCACAGTGCTTACGCCACTTTATTTTTTGGTTGTATTTCACACCAACACGGCATTAAAAGATACCTGGCGGTGGGGGAAGGGCGCCAAGGGCGCGGCCCTGCGTCTGACAGCGCTGCGTGTCCCACGGGCGCAGGGACCTGTCTCTGTCCAGGTCGTTTCTGCTTTGCCACCTCCCTGAACCTCGGGACGGCCCAGCGTGGCTGGCAGGGCAGGGGGGCCATGCCCACTGTGGGGTGCGACGGGGACTTTAAAAAAAGAAGGAAAGGAGGGTGCTTGTCCAAGGCGGCATGACCTACGTGACCCCCAGGGCCTTGACCTCTGGGCCAGGGCACTTCTGCCTGCACAAAACGCCAGTCTCGGCGCGACAGACACACACCGCCAACCAAATCCCAGGTGGCCCCGGGCTCTCTCATGTGGCCATCCATCCATCCCCCTGTCCATCGTTTCTTCTGTCTGCCCACTCTCCACCCACCCATCCATCCCACGGACACAGGCAGAGTGCAGTCACGCTCCTGGCACCTCGAGGGACCCTGGGGTCCACGGAGGAGCCCCCACCCCTCAGCAGCTCGAGGCCCCGTAGAGCAGCCCCCGGTTTGCAAGGGGCCCCAGTGGGACACGCGGGGCATTATGGGGGCAAACGGCCCCGCCTCGCTCCGCCTGGAGGCGCGGGTTCCAAGTGGGGCTTCCTGGGGCAGGTGGCCAGTGCCGTGGCCCTGGCGTCCTCCAGGCTCCCACGTCACGACAGTCACAGCTCAGCGGCGAGTCAGAGTGAGGCAGGTGTGGCGACCCCCACCCCGACCACCTGTCCACCTGCCAGAGCCACAGCCCCACCTTGGGGCCTCAGGGCTCCCCCTCCCTGGGCATGTTCTTTGTCATTCTGGTTCCTGGCAGCCTGAAAGATCGCTCCTCGCTGATATTAATTCTCATATTAGCAATTAGCCCTCCTGCCCCATTTTAACCTATGGCTCCTGGGACGGGTTTTTATGTGCGTGTCATTAATCAGACGCCTCGGATGTGCCTCTGGAAACTCAGGTGGGCGTCATGGCTGGGGACTCAGCCGCGCGGCGTGTTGAACGCGCGCCGCGCTCGGCCCCTCCCGGACGGAGGCTCAGATCGCTGCGAGCAGGTCGAGGCGGGCTCGCGCCGGAAGACCCGGCGCTTTCTTTCCCGCTGGACGCCCAGGCTGAGGTCGGCCTCTGCGTGCGACCTTCGGGGATGAAAAGGCTCTCTCTGCGACTCAGATCTGGGTTTTGTTCCGCGGCCGCTGCCTTCCTCCCGGCCCGACGGCCGTCCGCACGCAGCCCGCTCCCCTCCCCCACGCGGGGTGCGGCCCCCCCCCCGCCCCGCCCCGGTGCCAGCACGGGCTGGCTGGGGGCCGTCACACGGCCACGGTCTCTCCCCCCGGGGGCCACAGGGAAGGGAGAGCTTTCCCCTTTGGGAGTGTGGATGGTCCCGGGTCAGCAAGGCAGAGGGCGGACGGGGAGGCCCATTTCCGGCCGAGGGAGCCGCCTGGGCGGAGGCTCAGAGGAGGGGGCCTCCGTGTGGTGCGGAGGCTGGCGACCCGCAGTCTGAGTTCTGGGAGGGCGGTGGGCGGTCTGTGCTGACGCGGGAAACAGGGTCCTGGCCTTGCGGGGGGTTCGAGGGCCCCGCTGAGGGCCTGTCTCCAACCCGAGGGACGCGGGGAGCCGGAGCCCTGGGCAGGGAGGGCCGTGAGCAGGTCTGCCTTGAGAAGGGTCGCTCTGGCCGCCCCGTGGAGGAGGGTGCTGGGGTCCTGGGGAGGGGAGCAGCAACAGGCTGGGACCGAGTACCCTGGAGCAGGGACGGAGTCCTGGGCTGGGCGGAGGGGCTCACTCCGAGCTTGGAGGCCTCCCTGCAGACAGGCCTGGGGGCTGCGTGGTTCCCCTCCCCCCACTCCGGCTCACGGGAGGCGCTGAGTGCTCCCACGAGCTCCCCCACACCCGGTGCAGGGGCCCTGGGTGGGGGCGGCCGGAAGGCCTCCGCAGGGGGCGTGCTGCAGGCTCCGGCCCCGCCCTCTACGCGGCCGCCCTCTCGCTCACCGCGGCCCCCAGGCTTGGCACCGCCCGCAGCACCCACACGGCGGGCAAGGAGGGCGGAGGCGAGAGAGGCTGCGCACCCGGCATGAACCCTCCGAGCCTCGGAGCCGCTAATTAAACTGCTTTCTGACAAAGCCCAGACTTGCGGGGCTGGGGGCTGGAGCGGGTGTGCCAGCCAGTCCGTGGGTGGCTTCAGGGGCCCACACTGCTGGGCCAGCGGGCCTGGACCACGGCCAAGCCCACCCTCAGGGGCAGACCGTGGGGAACTGGGGTGGGCAGTGCCCAGAGCAGAGACACCGACAGCCCCAGGGACCCAGCGGCCAGCTCTTCTAGGACAGGGCTTCTCCAGCGGAAGAGATCGTGGGACTTCTGCCATGATGGGACATCCCTCTCTCCCGCCCTCCACGTGTGGGTGGGAGCCAGGACCTGGGGAGCAGGGCAGCTACAAGGCCAGAGGGAGCCTGGGAATTCGCGCCCGCCCCCTGACGCCGGGCTGGCAGAGCAGGCCAGGGGCCAAGTCAGCCTGGACTGCTGGCACCTGCC